GTAAACAATTTGTTAATGCCAAATATTATCCTCAAAAAGACTGGCTTAATTATCGTAATACTATATTTTGGACGCAACTTACCTTAATCCTTTGTAACTTGTAGTGCCTTCAAAGCTGCTGAAGAGTCAATTAATTTTCCGACATCAGCCCTCAGCTGGTAAAAACCACTTCTGAAATTTTCTAGGAGAGACAAATGTCATCAGAAGACATGGTTGGGTTTACAATCCAATAAAGGATCTCCGTGTAAATTAAATAGGGCAAAACCCTGTATTAAAAGGCTGGAAACTCAGTCTGTGGAATCTGGTACAATTTTTCCTCAGCCCTTTGCTTTCTATCAGTAGCTGAATTTTTGCTTAGTCTAGTCACACCATTAGTGTAAGGTTTTCGAGCTTTTCATCAATAAAACCTTCATGTTTTCAAACCAGAGTTCAAACACATGTAACAAAAACAGTTTGTTTTCCTATTTCATTCACATTCACGAAAAGCATATTTAGAACAACACACTCAGCCATTGCCAATACCTTACGTAATAGAGTGTTTTTTAAATTAATTTTGGATGGTTGTCTATTTTTATTTCTTAAACCACTGAAATATCCTTTTCCTCTACTACTGGCCTCGACTCTTTGTTTCTCCTTGTTGTAGTAGCAAGGTGTCCAACTTGTCACTAAGTTTTTTAACCTGAATTCTTGTCTGTTCAATTTCATATGTGGCTTTGTCTGCACATCATGATACATACAACATGATGTAATAATAACCTTTTTCCTTATGCTAACCTATTCCATAATAAAAGGTTCTTCTAGAGGTAATGTCCAACCTCTGCAGGGGTTCGATGTTCTGATGTCATATCTCTGGCTAGAAAAATCACGGCGTGTGTAAACTAGAGTATATTAATTAATGTACAATACCTTGAATATCTCCCATCATTTTTTCACTTTCACTTCCATAAGATGATTCATACACTTATTCTCAAGCTTACCGATAGCAGATCTATAACCAAACCCTCCCAGAACTACTTTGGCAGCACTGATATCCTGCCAGTAGATGTTGAATGTTGCATCGTCCACAGATGCTTGGTTGGCATGGCTGTACACATCATCATTGGAGTACTTTAGCCTGACTATGTCGGCATCCTTGCTAAAATCTAAGTTAAGTGGTAGACTATCCCATCCAGTCCTGGGGGGAGTCAACGCACAGACATTCCTCAGTAGCGCATGCAGTAACACAACATCAAAGTTTGCTGATGAAACAGATGATGGAACAGTTGGATACAACGTTCCCCGTTGTGTAAAACTCATGACTCTCCTCTCCTATAGAGACTGTAATGCTGAATGCTCTGTATGATGCCTCAAGACTGAGTCAAGTTCTACTGGAGGGTGTATGGTATCAAAAGTGTCTCTTAAGACGGGGGATCCAACATCGACCAGAAAGCGACAAAGTCAAGCATAGTTGATTGCCTCCGGGGTAGAAGGTAATAATGGTGCAGGTGATGATGTCATTGGCTGTAAAGGAAAATGAATTCACCCACACAGCCTTAGATGTAAAGGTCAACGTGTTCTTAATAAACTTACCCTAACCATACAAATGGTACTCTTCATATTTCAAGTAATGTAATTCTCAATCTTCTGTGATTGAGGAACGGCATGATTCAAAACAGCAGCTAGTTTACATGAATTTATACACTCTAATATACAGATGAGCCACTTTACTTCACCTTACTACAAAATTCAAGCAATCTTTTTAAATTCCATGTTTTACATTTTTGAAAAACAATCTATTTCAATAAGTAGCAGACCTGTCATCCCAAGATGGTCAATTGCTTATTGTCTCCACACGAGGCCAAGAAGAGAGGATGCTTGGCAGAGGAACATTTCCCCCGCCCCCCTCTGCCCCCTCCAATTTCCCTTACTCTAAGTTATCTATTTAGCTTCCTTTTTATCCAGGTATTTGACTCACCATGGACATCAAAAGGGAATAACATNCAAAGACATGCTTGCAGACGCGACAAGAAACTATTCCTTCTCTTCAAAACCTGTGGGAAGTGGGTCTGCTTTTAGCAAAAGCCAAGGATAAAAAAATATTTCCATCGCAAATATAGCCATTTAGTGGTTTGGGATCAGCCAGACTTTCATTTGTTTCAAAGCAATTCTTATATCCTTAAGAGCATGGTTACATGAAAGTGGCGACACCAGATACGTGACGGAAACCGGAATGGAAAGATTAGTTTCTGTTTCACAAACATGAATATATTATCCCCCAAATAACATCATACGTGGTTTTCTGTGTTAACTTTTTGGTAAATTTTTTTCAATTAAGATATGATGTCAATGAGGAAAGGCAGGGGGTACCGATGTCACCGATGGGTCAAACTTAACAGGGACAGGGGCATAGCTTTCAAAATTGATTGGGCAGAAAAATACAAGACTCTGATTATTTTCATTGCAATTCTGCAAGAGTCACGAATTTGGATGGAAAACTGAGAGTTGTTCAGCGATCTGCATAAGAATAGACTTACGTTTCAAGTTCTTTCTATTGGTCTCCATCATCTAAAGCTGAGAAGACTTCTCCACGCACATAGAAGAAAAAGAAGTTATTCCTCTTGGTTTATTGCCTTCCTTTGGAAAACTCCTTGTCACATTTTCACGGTCAATATTTTGAGAAGTTACATTTTTTGGTTGTCCTATAATTGTGGCTTCGTGATCATGAGTCTCGTGCCTGAAAACGATATTGGGAAAATTTTCCATTTTTGGTCGATGTTGCATTTAGGTTTCACAATAAATTTTGCCAAACTTTCCCAAAGTCTTTAAAGGTTTTTAGCCTCTCACGTTTGTTCTTCCTTTCAATCGGCAGTCAAGTTGATTGCAATTAATAAAGGATATATTAAACCTGTGGTCTAGCAAATAAGCCAATTAATGACCCTTACGGTGGTTTAACGCTATCTTGGCGACTCTCTTTGTACCGTGTCTTGTGTCATTATACATAGTGGCACAACACGCAATTCAAAGAAAGTTGCCAACAGTTGGGCATAAAGCTTGTTTTAAAAACTGGGAATTTAACGAATTCCTCGCTATAACACAAATGGAGAAGCCTTGACTGGGCTCTGTTGTGTTGTAAAGAACTTAGGAAGCGGATAGAGCACAAAACACTGGAGGAAGACGCTTGACTACGTCTCGTGTTTCTCCTTTCACTTTTTCATGCTCTAGCCCCTTCCTGCTTGCTTAACAACAAAAGAGAGTACAGTCGAGGATTCTCTATTTTTTAGGCGAAAATACTTCGATAAAATAAGAATCAAGAATGACATTTATTTCGAGAGCCTGGAAAAAAAACATGGGACGGTGTCGAGTATGATATTTAGNCGCAGATTGCCATATGTTGCTTAGAATGATTAGGTAAATTAAAATGTCTAGCGACTGGTTTCGATGTGTCCTTGTCATTCCTTTCCACGTCTCGAAGGTGTTCTCGGAATCGGTCACCTAGTCTTCTGCCTGTTTCGCCGATGTATATCTTTTTGCAATAAGTGCAAGTTATGCAATAGATTACATTGGCGGAGGTGCACGTGAAGTGATCGGTGATCTTAATGGATCGTTTAGGTCCCGATATTTTATCAGTGTTGTGAATGAAAGGACACGTTTTGCATCGTGCACGAGCGCATTTAAAAGTGCCTGGTTGGTCATTAGTCTGAAAAGAACTTCTGACCAAAAAATTGCCTATGTTTTTGTCGCGTTTGAATGAAATGAGCGGAGGCTGCGAAAAGATAGTGCTTGTCTCTGGATCGTTTTGAAGTAATTTAAAGTTTTTAAGAATGATGGATTTAACTGAGTGGTTGTGAGGGTGAAACGTGAGAGTGAATGGAATGCGGTCGGAATCTTCCTTATGCGACGTTTGTAGTGCTGAATGTCGATCAATAAGTTGGGCGCGGTGGTAACCCGCTTGAACGACAGAAACAGGGTAACCACGTTTATCGAAAAACTGGCACATTGACTCTGATTTGTGGTGGAAATCAGAGTCATCACTACATAAACGACGAAGTCTTAGAAACTGAGAAAAAGGAATGGAATTCTTAACGTGAGATGGATGCGAAGACGAATATAACAAGTAATTATGCGAGTCTGTAGGTTTGTAATACACACTAGTGCATAAACCGTTACCTTCAATTGAAACTTTGATGTCTAAAAAGGATAAAGAATTGTCAGAAATTTCCCAGGTATATTTCAGAGCCGGGTGAAAAGAATTGACTGCGGTTATGAATTGAGTGAGCTCCTCTCTGGTAGAGGAGGTAGCGCCGATACAGTCGTCGATGTAGCGACCGTAGAGTTCAGGTTTGGACCCGTTGTATTGGCTGAAAAATTGATGTTCGACAAAACCTACAAAAAGATTGGCATAGCTAGGTCCCATTTTGGTGCCCATGGCTACACCATTGGTTTGTTTGAAGAAGTTGTTTCCGAATGAAAAACAATTGAGTGTGAGCACTAGTTCGGCTAATCGTAATAGTGTTTCAGATTTAGGTTCCTTATCACTACGTTGATCAAAAAAATGTTTAAGGGCCAGAAGGCCTTCGCCCTCAGGTATGACAGTGTAAAGAGACGTTGTATCCATGGTGAAAAGAAGTCTGTTTTGGCCAAGGAAATTAAAGTCTCGAAAACTTTGAAGAGCGTGTTGGCTATCTTTAATATATGAAGGTAAATTTTTGACGATGGGAGCCATAATTTTGTCTAGATAGCTGGAGATAAGTTCGGTAGGGCAACTGCAAGCCGAGACAATGGGCCGACCCGGGTTCTTAGGTTTGTGAATTTTAGGTAAAAAGTAAATACGAAAGGTTCTAGGAGTGGTTTTGATGAGATTTTTTGCTGTGGCCGGCAATTCTTGTTCAGTTATGAGTTGGTTGATCGTACTCTTGAGGGAGTTTTGATTGCTGGCAGTGAGGTCTTTGTTGACCTTTTTATAAAAAAAAAAGGTGTCAGAAAGTTGCCGCAAAGCTTCTTTTTGGTAGAGGTCAGTGCGCCAAACAACAACTGAGCCGCCCTTATCGGCCGCTTTGATGACTATGTCTTTCCTTTTTCTAAGACATTTTAGAGCCGACCACTCTTCAGGAGAGATTAGAAAATTTGGTAATATGTTTGAAATTGAGTTTGTTGATATCGTGGCGGCATTTTTTGATAAAAAAGTCTAATGATGCCAATTGGCCCTCTGGGGGAGTCCATTTAGACTTTCGAGTCTGAAGTGTTCGAAAGTGTCTTTGTTCTCGGTGTTAGAATCATCCTCTGTTGTGAAAAAGGCTTTTAATTGAACGCGGCAAAAGAATTTTTCTACGTCTTGTTTAATTGAGAATTCGTCCGTTGTTTTAGAAATGGGAACGAAATTTAATCCCTTACTGAGGGCAGATTTTTCTGAATCGGAAAGTAAGAGGTTTTCTGGAATGGTAACTACAGTTTTGAGGTTTTCTGGTGATGAGTGGTTAGCGATTTGGGGAACGATAAGTTGGTCAAGTTTTTGGGCCTTAATTTGGTTAAATGATTGAAAAGTTTCGAATTACTTTCCTGAATTTTGGCGCGGAAAGATTGTAATAAAACTGCTAAGATTTGTTCGGTGAGGTGATTACGTTTTTGGCACACAGCCCTAATGGTAATTCTCATGATGTTACCTGAAAAAGAATTTTGGGCGCACTTAATTTGGTGATGGTTTTGTTTGGTGAATGAAGATGCATCAAAATTGGAGCGAAAACCATTGGGAATAACTTTAGAATGAAGGCAACGACCGATGAAGTTTATGTGGCTACAAAACCTAGTTTTGCCAGCAATCAACACTCCCTCAAGAATACGATCAACCAACTCATAACTGAAGAAGAATTGCCGGCCACAGCAAAAAATCTCATCAAAACCACTCCTAGAACCTCTCGTATTTACCTTTCACCTAAAATTCACAAACCTAACAACCCGGGTCGGCCCATTGTCTCGGCTTGCAGTTGCCCTACCGAACTTATCTCCAGCTATCTGGACAAAATTATGGCTCCCATCGTCAAAAATTTACCTTCAAATATTAAAGATAGCCAACACGCTCTTCAAAGTTTTCGAGACTTTAATTTCCTTGCCCAAAACACACTTCTTTTCACCATGGATATAACGTCTCTTTACACTGTCATACCTGAGGGCGAAGGCCTTCTGGCCCTTAAACATTTTTTTGATCAATGTAGTGATAAGGAACCTAAATCTGAAACACTATTACGATTAGCCGAACTAGTGCTCACACTCAATTGTTTTCATTCGGAAACAACTTCTTCAAACAAACCAATGGTGTAGCCATGGGCACCAAAATGGGACCTAGCTATGCCAATCTTTTTGTAGATTTTGTCGAACATCAATTTTTCAGCCAATACAACGGGTCCAGACCTGAACTCTACGGTCGCTACATCGACGACTGTATCGGCGCTACCTCCTCTACCAGAGAGGAGCTCACTCAATTCATAACCGCAGTCAATTCTTTTCACCCGGCTCTGAAATATACCTGGGAAATTTCTGACAATTCTTTATCCTTTTTAGACATCAAAGTTTCAATTGAAGGTAACGGTTTATGCACTAGTGTGTATTACAAACCTACAGACTCGCATAATTACTTGTTATATTCGTCTTCGCATCCATCTCACGTTAAGAATTCCATTCCTTTTTCTCAGTTTCTAAGACTTCGTCGTTTATGTAGTGATGACTCTGATTTCCACCACAAATCAGAGTCAATGTGCCAGTTTTTCGATAAACGTGGTTACCCTGTTTCTGTCGTTCAAGCGGGTTACCACCGCGCCCAACTTATTGATCGACATTCAGCACTACAAACGTCGCATAAGGAAGATTCCGACCGCATTCCATTCACTCTCACGTTTCACCCTCACAACNTTTTTTTTTCAGGTCTGATTTTCGCTATTGCATAAATAGCGCTATCTACTGCAAGGATCGTGCATCATACGCATTTGAAATTTGTTGATATATTCAAATTATTTCGTTACTCCCACCGACGCAGCCCCAAACAGTTTCTTTCGAAACTATCAGCCTTTAGAGGAAAGTTACCTTCGTTATAATGGCTCCAATGTTGGAATACGCCTGGATTCCTCAAAATGTTGGACACAACAGAGGCTGCCATTACACTTGCGAATACATCCCACTCATAGCTTGACGACTGATTCTCGTTGGCATAGCATTTGATGCCTTTTACAACCACCCATTCCGTTTTCAGACTATGAGCTGCAGCAAACACTCCTAAGATAGAGAGAAGCGATAACTAGAGTAGTGTTTCGATGCTGTGCCCTTAATTCTAGCGTCTTCTCTTATTAAAGTGATACAAAAACCCGAACCTCTTCTGGAAGAACGGTTTAAGTACTTTACCCTCATTATTACGCTTTTCAAGTCGGTCAAAGACGTAACACAATGATTTCGGAAAGGGTTGTGATTCGACAAAGTTGCCTCGCTAAAAATGCAATGTTTATAGCTGCAGCTAGATTTGACGGATACCTCAGACTGCTCCACGCGTTGTTGTGTTATTTAAGATGTAACTCTTACCTTCACCTTCCACCTCCACTGCAGTTGCTTCAGAATATTTCTGAATTATGTTCTCACTGCTTGCCTGTAAGGGTGGAATACTTAAGATAGTACCGTCACATTTCACGTTTACTTTACGAGCTTGAGGGTCTTTCAAGGGTGCTCTCCAGCCATCAGCTGCATGTTTGATAAGGTTGCCAATATCCCTACTTACAGGAGTTTTGTAAGCAAGCGTTGTCAACTTTGAAGACACAACTACGTCTCCTAGCCTGATTTCCTTAGGAGTCAACCCAATGCAAGTACCAACAGAAAACACAACTTTGGGTGCCAGAGCTAAAATTACATTATTGACAACAATCAAAGAACCGTCAGGAACTGCAGAACCTCTGGTACACTTGACCAAAGCAGTTTTCAACTTCTCCTCCTGTTGATGTCCCATGAACCCGTAGTACACATACCCAGTGCTTTTGTAGTACCTCCTTGAGGGTTGATCGAGATAGTGCAAACATGCTAAGAACTCACAGTCCTCCACCGTTAACAACAGGATATCGACTGGAAGTTCAAAATCGCTCCAGCAGCTGTCTGACGTAAAAAGGTCCTTTAAATCTGGAAGCTTAAAATTGAGGTGAGGTGGATTGCCAATGGAGTCCTGTAAATCATCTTTTACGCCATTCACAGTTTCTGAGCCTAGGAGAATGAATCGAAAGTTATCTATCTATCTATTTATCTATATAATCAATTGTATAGGAAAATAAAAATTAAAACTTCC